GGGGAGCAGAACAGGCCAACTGATGAAGTACATTGCTGAGGGTCAGGAGAGGTCTGCTGAGCCATGTAGGTCACCTCCGGGGCAGGCGGGAATCGAACTCATGCTGAAGTGGCTTTAGATTCTTAGTGCTGTGCTTTAACCCTCTGCGCGACCAGGGAGGGCCAAAAGAAGCTTTTTAATTCAAGAGGATCATGATAAAGTCAATGGAAGTTTCTGAGCTGGGCACTGAGAACACGAAGTTGCAGTGCATTCCTCCATCCTCCAGGAGTTTATAGTCTAGTGCGAAAGATGCAAACAGAAAACTCTCATCCATCAATACTAGGGATCTACACAGAGAATTCTGGGAGAGAAATGGCAGCACTTCCAACCTCACCAGATAGGCAAAGAGATGTTTCCTAGAAGTGGTGAACGTTCTAAAGTTCTAAACCAGAGAGCTTAGACCACTCTAAAGAACCAGCAGTTATCAAACTAGAGGGGAAAGGGCTTTCCAATCAGACTAGGAGTCACCAGCAATTGTGCAGAACAGCATGTGCGGCTGTCTAGGTAAGGAATCAAGGTGCCTGAAGGTCTGACTAAAATGACTGACCATGGCCCGTAAAGCAAAAAACATCAAGAGGGAGGCCATGGACATAGAGAACAGGAAGCCTAAAGATCTAGAAAAAACAAAAGGGTAAAAGGGAAAAGGCAGGGAGAGATAGGACAGGGTGGGTAAACAAGAAGGCCACATTCATTGTAGAAAAGCCTAGAGTCAATCCCTGAAGCAAAGCAGCTGGAGTGTCAGTAACAGTCAAAGAGCCTCAGAGAGCCTCAAAGCCACTGCAGGACAAAAGGGTGAAGTCATTCTGGGCAGTTCCATGAGTTTGCCATGATTATAATCCAGAGGCTACAGCTAGCACCAAGGTAAAGAAAAAAGGCATGAATCATGCAGTCCTGGGGTCCTCCTGGGGGCCTAGGGGTTCTGTCTCAGTGCTGTCACTGCCACAGCCTGAGTCTGCTCCCAGCCAGGGAGGTGACCCACATGGCGCCGCAGACCTCTCCTGTCTCACCTGCTGCTCCCCTCAGTGGTTTATTTCAGTAAAATCTGCCTGTTTTGCTCCCCACTCTGTCTCTGATGAATCCTCTCACACCTCTGGTCTATACCCCAGTTCTTCTGCACAGAGTTAAAAACAGATAAGTAGATAGATAGATAGATACAGACAGACAGACAGGCAGACAGACAGACAGATGAACGAATGAACAAACAAATTAATTAATTAATTAAAATGCAGTCAAGAGTCAGGAACTCTAATCCGGACTTTACCTGGCAGCCTTACAAGTCACATGCCTCTCCCAGGCCTCCCATTTTGCACCTCTAAAATAGGAGGCTGGACTAAATGGCCATTTAGAGTCCTTAAGTTATATTGAACAGCTTTTTATATGGAATAATAGCTATGAAGTTGAGAAGGTATTCCTAAACTTTGGTGAGAACTATATCATATTTCCCTAACAAAATTCAAATATGTTACACTAGTGACTTTCTTATGTAGGAATTTTAAGATTCACACAGCTCTTTGCAATATTAACCTCCACCCTGGGAGCTCTATAATACCTGTTTTATAAATGAAGTAAGAGATTTCACAAGGCTAAAGCAAGCATAGTCTTGAATTGATAAACACTGTTTCTCCTAAAACAGATTCTACATGGCATGCTTCATTGAGCTAACCCTACTTACTAACATTTTGGTTTCAAAAATTTGTTCCTTCGGTAAGTAATAGGATTCCCACTAATTGTACTGAAGCTAACAATGTCATTCTGAAATCCAACAGATTACCTGGTTACTGAAATGAATAGAGGGTACTGTTTAACTGTATTAAACTTTCATACTGTTGAAAGAAAGCTTTGTAAATGAAAACAAATCCAAATACATCCTTGTGTAGTCTTCAAAACAGCATATGGCAGAAAAATAACCTTAACTCTAGTCACCTACTCTTGTGTAACTGATATAAGTAAATAGTGAATAAGGCCCGGCACCTTTATTTTTTTCCTAATAATGATTCCTTTGCTTTCTACCACTCAAGATAGTGGTCGTATCCCACGTTGTTAATTATGATTAACAATTCACGGCCCAGTTCATGCCTACTACATACCAACTAATCAAGAAAGCAAAGAAATTTCTAGGGACACAAAAGAACACTTCCTTTATGAACCACTCTTCCCTTGCTAATTCATCTATTAAAAGTGCATTTATTTTTTATATCATGCCAAAGTTTACTGATTACATGAAACAAAATGTTCTGTAATGAAAAAGGCAGGTTAGATTCATAAAAGATGGCATCTACATTCAAAAACAAAATAACTAAAGTGAAAATCATAGTATTTGAAAAGCTATCAATACCTGCACAAAACCCACACACTTATATTCTCTATTTTTTAATTCCATCACTAAATTATTATGAATTTTGCAAATTGAGGCTTGAATTTAAACTGTGATTGATGTCTTGTGGTAGAAAGGAATTTGGTTTCAGTTCAATAGCAACATCCTCAAACCCTGGACAGTCATCAACAATGTGAAAATTACCATGATGCACTGACAGTTCAAAATTAGTGAAATGATGATTATATTAGCCTATTATTATATTTACTAAACTATTTTTAGTGTATTTTTTCCTAGTGAATACAAACATTTCAATTTCATTTTCTAAACTACAGGGAATGGCCTCAATGTGAAAAATGTAGACCAAGTTAGTTAAAGGGAATTTGCATATATTTTATCAGATAATACAAATTCCTGGAAAGGTTGATGGCAACATCTTATGTAACATGATTACTAACTAAATATCTCCCTTCAGTGCCATTCCATGACTATTTAGTATATTGAGATAAACAGCAAACGACTGTGAATTCGTAAACAAAACATATTCAATAGGAAATCCCCCATCATAGGTTCTTTTATCAGGAAGGACAATTAAAATCATTCAAATCAAAAAATGATGAAGCAGCTAATATGCACAAGGAACTGTACTATGTCACATTATTAACATTTTTCCCAGAAAAAAATGAATAAAACTTAGCTCTTAACACTAAAAGCATGCTGTGCGGAATTTTGCCTTCAAAGCTGAAACATTACATTTAAGATGATTTAGAAAACGGGAAGAAAAAGGTAAACATTTCTATGTGATGAAATAAGTATAGGAAAACTCGGATACATAGGTAGATGGGTGTCACTTTTCCTTACACCGGCCCAGAGCTGAAGGGTATGGGGGAAGAGGAAGTCATGGTGTGAAGGGGAAGAGACAAGAACGAACCCTGGACCAACCAAAGTTGGTCTGCTGTGTCCCCCAGGGGCGCACCTACATCCTGCATCCCTCACCCATCATGCCCAGCCATCACCATCTTGCACAGGGAAAAGCTGAAAGGGATACCAAAGTAGGTAACTCCAAGGTGAAGGACGAGCCCCAGGAAAATCCACAAGGTTAGCTAAGTGCTGCTCCAAAGCCAGAGCTGAGACCTAAAGAGGCCTCGACAAAGGAAAGAAAGGACCCAACTGGGAAAAGGGGAAAGCTAATGCTGGCAATGAAGGGAATAACCCCGCAGAAGTCAGAGATGCCCATGCAGACCAGCCCGGAACACTGGAAGGGCCCGAAAGGCTCAGGGAAGGGTGTGCTCTTCAGAGTGTACAGTCTGAAATGTTTTCTGTTATCACATTTTATAAAATGCAAAATTTGCTCTACATCTTTTTGTAAGGTTTGATGTTTACATGTAGAACACTTCATTCTTTTGGAGGGAAGGCATAGATCACTAATTAATAATTAGTGGATATCTTCTGAATATGAGCTGGGTTAATTTAAGGGAAGGGAAAACATTTTTCCCTTCAAGTTCCTCTTGGTTCTCAGGAGAAGGGATACCTGGACGCTGGTATATATTAGCCACCATGGCACAAACACCTTGTAAATGGAGAAAAATTAAAACTCATTTTTATGTCCTCTTCTCTCTCTCTGCCTCAGCACAGATTCAAAAAAAAAGTGGTTGCCAGTATGTCAAGCACTCTGGACTTTCCAGCACCATTGAGATGGTATCCCACAAAAAAGAAGTGGTTCAAGATCATCCGGTGATAATTCTGTTCATTTTCATTTCATTTTGCAAAAGTCAGGGTTGACTTGTAAAAAGTTTAGTTAAAAAACATGCTAAGTGTAAAATGTCAACCCTCACTCGAAACTTCCCGTGGTCAGAGCATCAAGTGAGGCTTACCCTGTGCTTTAGGGTGGCATTTTAGGGTGGCAAGGATTGAATAGTCCATAGGACAGGAGAGTGTGAAAGTTGTTGTAGACAATGCTTATCCACCATTGTCTTGTCCTGAAATACCATGATTATTTGTGGAAAGTATCTTTAATAAAACTGGAGATTTGAAAAAAATGCCATGTTAAAATCTACATGTAAGTACAAAAAATGAAACCAGACACCCCTATAAAACCAAAAATATGAACGAATACTGAATGCATGACCCAAATTCTGTCACATGTAAAGTTCATGCTCTGTATTGCTATTTCACCTGTCTCACCTGGCTGTTAAAACTAGGGAGACAATATTTAAGAAATATGCTAGAATTTTGCTATCAATCAGACAGAAAGTATGCCCACAGCTCCCAGAGCAGAGCTGAGTCCTTTTATCACTTGATAACAGTGTCTGGAAACAGACTTGAAGCTTCCAGAAAAATCATTCTAGAAGGGAATCTGATAGATTCATTAATGACAACCTGAAAGGATTTGTGCTTTCTTTCTTAGCTCACTATTCCAATGACTTCATTCAGCTCCTATTTCAATTCATCCTGAAAAATGAAAAGAGGTTAACATGTCCTTTGTGGGGTAATCAGGAGGATCAATTTCAACTTCTAGTTGAACTACTCACATAAATTTCCAAAGATCAAAATTACCTAAGTAAGTGGTATGTGCACAGCAACCCCCGGTCAGATTTCACAGTTTGGATTTTCAATACCAAAATGTAATCAACACTACAATACTCACTTTTAGTTTCTTGTTTAGTTTACAGCAGTATCTGTACACCATTGCCAAGTTCAGAGGTCCAAAATCTGCATAGAAACTGAGATTTTTTTTAAAAGCAGTAGTTAGTAGAAATATAGTTTCTAGAAACATCAATGCTTATTTTTATTTTCACTAAGGCAATAATCAAATTTTTATTAACTCCAGGGAGAAGGGTATTTCACTGACTCACAGTAGTCCAAATAATGGTATCACACTACTAATGCCATCCAATTACTGTAGCCAGTCTCTTCACTTGGAGCCAATTGAACAGCTTCAAGTCCCACCTTCATTTATCTCCCTAGCAGGATGTTAAAGGGATTGAAAAGCAGGCATTAAAAGGGCCCCCGTGGGGTAGGGGGGGGCCAGGGCATGGAACTGTGGTGATGGTACACGGGTGAACTGGTGATGGGAAGTCCATGGAAAAAGGTACAAAATGCTGTAAAAATAAACCATTATAATATTTTTTAAGGGGGCCCCCATGACCCATTGCACCACCAGATTAAAGCGCAGCAGTGCAAATCTAGCTGCAGCTTCACCATGAGTTCAATCCCCATCCAGGGAGCTGACCCACATGGTGCAGCAGACCTCTCCTGTCTCACCTGCTGTTCCCCTCAGCAGTGTATTTCAATGCATCTGCCTGTTCTGCTCCCCCCACCCCAGTCTCTGGTGAATCCTGTCACCACCCCCCACACCTCTAGCCTGTACCCCAGTCTAGTATGCACAGATAAATAAATCTTTTTTAAAAATAAATTAATGTTAAAAAATAAATAAATAAAAACCCCTCCCCACCCATGAACATCATGGGCATGTATCCTACACATCATCAGTCTGTCATATTCATGAGCTCCAGGCTCCAGCTGTCACTCTGTCATTCAAATGTTGCTTCAATGCTTAAACTCAATAGTCTCTTTTCAGTTTCATTCTGCCTCAACTTCCTGTATTCTATGATACAGGAAGGGTGCATCTCCCTCTCTGCACCTTCTAACCACTTCAGAATACCACACCCTAGAGATCTCTCCCTCCCTATGTCAAGCGTAGAACCCGACAACAAATAGATTGTTCCTATGCAGGAGACCTGGCACCAATCTCTCACATCTTCAAGTGGCTAAGGGAACTCAGACTGTATAAAACTCAACCCATTTTCCTTCTAATCTGCGCTCCAGAGTAAAAACATTTTGCTTCTCCCAATAGCTCTGGCATGAATCTCCCAACCACAATAGGCACAAATAAATCCTAACTGAATTCCCGAGATTAAATAGGCTAACGCTCCAAGCAACAGCTTCTTTGTCCATTCCTACTTTAACAGCAAAAGTCCAAATCTTCTTCATTGCACATCTTTACTATTTAAATGCTCTCTCTCATGCTCAATCACCCAACATTCTACTCTAGAGATTTCTCTTCATGAAGTCTCACATATCTTCCCTCTATTCAAGAAGACTGAAATGGTTCCCAATTCCCTTCAGAATGATTACTTGGTCCAGCAATCAAAGTCCTACCCATCACATCTTTCACCTCCAGGCTAAGCAGATCTCCTACAGGTCCCACGTGGAATCATTCAAGCAAATATGAACCGCTCATTCTCAAGCACTCCAAACATATTCTTTTTTTTTAAGATTTATTTATGTATCCAAAAGCTGGGATGTTGGCCAGAGGTACAGGGAGTGAGAGGGTTCACCAGAGACAGAGTGGGGAACAGAACAGGCAGACTGGTTAACAAACATTGCTGACAGGTGTAGTGGGCTAGACTAGGGAAGTCTGCTATGGCATGTGGGTCACCTCCCTGGCCAGGGATCAAACTCAAGCCCAGAGCTTCATAGGGCTGAGACTTAGCCCCTTGCGCCAACAGGGAGGGCCCATGCATATTCTTTTTTTTTTTTTTAAAGATTTATTTGTGCTTACAGAACTGGGGTACAGGCCAGAGACTCAGGGGTGGCGAAAGACTTCACCAGAGACAGAGTGGGGAGCAGAACAGGCAGATCTACTGAAATACACTGCTGAGGGGAGCAGCGGGTGGGTCAGGAGAGGTCTGCCACACCATGTGATCACCTCCGTGGCAGGCGAGAATCAAACTCATGCGGAAGTGGTTTCAGCTTCTTAGTGCAATGCTTTAACCTGCTGTGCCACCAGGGAGGGCCCATGCATATTCTTAATCCAAGCCTATGATCACAGTGGTCTCAGCCTGAAACACCCTTTTCTCTTTCATTACCTGTAGCTTCCTCAAAATCCAGTTCTAGTCTTAACCTTCTCTGCATATGAATTGTTGCAAGTTTCTTTTTTGGCAAAATAAATTAGTGTACTCCGTAGCACAGGTAAAAGTCAGTCAAACACAGACCTCACCCTTAAATTGTTCTACACTCTCCTTGTAACCGCCAGCTACATGTGACTATTTGCATTAACTAACATTTAATAAATTAAAATTTCAGTTCTCTCATCAGCTAACCTATTGCAAGGGTACAAAATCTACATGTGGATTATGGCAATTGAACTGGACAATGCAAATACAGAGCATTTCTGTCACTGCAGAAAATGTTCTGCATTGACTGACAGATAACACTATCAAGATGAAAAGATGATACAGGAACAGAAGCAGCAGTAAAACACCACAGAAACAGTCATAGTGATCACTCTCATCCCAAGTGAAATATTGGTAAAAATTGTTTGAAGGCTATGCCATTCCCCTTTGGGGGATTCACATATTTCCCAGCAGGAAGAGTGGATCCTGATAATTTTTGGCCCTTTGTTTAAAAGAAATCACATCTTTTTTTTTTCTTATATAACTTTTTTAAAATTAGTAATTCTACTCTTTTTTCCCTTACAATGTGTGCTTTCTTTCCTAGGGTGTAACCCCATGGAATTCCCACCACCAGTTCACCCTGACACCATCACCATAGTCCCTTGACTCTTTCCACCCTCATTTTGATTCTTTTCCCTCCTCCTCCCATACAGAATGTCTCTGAAGGGGATCACATCTTTTAAAATCCAGCTTGGGACCTAACCAGATGTGGAAAAATAGAAGAGGAACAGATCTAGCTCCCACTCTCTTTAACTGTCCCTCAAGGAAACTGGCTGCTCTAAGAAAACCAGAGAGCTACAATGAATGTTACTCTACCTGATCATACTCCATACAAGCAATCAATATAGAAGAATCCTCAGATATTTAAAGCTGAATGGGCCAGCTTTTTTTATCCCAGAAAAGGAATGATGGGCTTCAAGTCACACTAAGAAGTTTATTCAAAAACTTTGCACATCAGGAGCAACTGAGATCAGCTCTTCCAGAGCTTCAGAACAGTCACCAAAATAAAGTCAACAAACTCTCTTAAGGTCCTTCATATATCCTTTTCTTCCAGTGCTTACATAATAATCTAGTTTTACATGTATATTATTTTCTCACAAGCTAAATCCATTTCTAAAATGTCAAGATCATTGGGGGCAAAAATAATCACAGCTGGCACTGGCTGAGTTATCGCTAACTCTAGTTAGTGATAAAAATAAGAGGCCAGGAACAAAAGACATCTCCCAACAACATACTGCTTTGTAAGAATCCTCCTCACCAGAGGTGAAAAATGCGGAAACACTGATTAGCCAGACCTGGAAGTATTAGAGAGAAACATCAAGCTACAAAAACCAAGTGACTCCTCAAAACATGTTAGAAAGAATAAAATATGTACTTAGACAACCTGGAAGCAAGTCAAGAGAACAAAAGAGCTAGGTTGAAGGTAGAGAAGAGAGAGAAATAGAAGGTCGTCACCCTAGAGACTGTGGAAAAAGAAGGAGAAATACATCCTTACTGTGGAGACACAGTAAGGAACAGCACTGGCCGAGCATTGAATATGAAAGCAGTGAACAGTGTCTTCTTCATCCTGGCCATTGCCAGAGACCCTCAGCACCACAACCAAGCCTGCACCCACACTCTTATGTGAGGGAAGTGAGGGAATCTGGCCTCGTGTGAGCAGGGCAAACTGGTTATATTGTTTTATTATTGCAGAGTAACCCAGGTTCCTTTCAAAATAAAAACAAGAATAAAGGAATGACACTCCCTTACCTATTTATTCATTTCTTCTTATTACTATAGACCAATAACAAGAAACGAAACTCATAAATTAAATGAAAATCAATGTTTTTAACTCAGTTTATGTAAATTTTTTCATGTTCTAACAGGAAAGAAATTCAAATTGAAGTCCTGAAGGACGCTGGGAGGAGGAGGGAGAATCATCTACTTATGAGAAAGACAAAGAAAGGGGAGCTCTGGGTCAGAAAAATTGTTCACCAGGGTCACCGACTCTCCACAGGGCCACCCACTACCTACAACATCTTGTCCTATTTGAAGGGAAATAAAAATTGAACCCAGAGGGCCCTCCCTGGTGGTGCAGAGGGTTAGAGCACAGCACTAAGAAGCTAAAGCCACTTCCGCATGAGTTCGATCCCCGCCTGCCCCGGAGGTGACCACATGGCGTGGCAGACCTCTCCTGACCCACCCGCTGCTCCCCTCAGCAGTGTATTTCAGTAGATCTGCCTGTTCTGCTCCCCGCTCTGTCTCTGGTGAATCTTCTCATCACCCCTGCACCTCTGGCCTGTACCCCAGTTCTGTACACATAAATAAATAAATCTTTTTTTAAAAAATTGAGCCTAGAAACTGTTATACCCATCATACCTTGGTCTTCTCATAAGATTTAGGAAGTTTACGATGTATCATTATTTTGTGGCTTTGGTTTTTTTTAACAAGCTCTAACTTAAGTACCTCCATTCCTAGAGGAATCGTTGCTTGAAACACTGTTGTACCTTCTTCTAAATATCAAGAGTTTCATCTGAAAATGTTCAACTCCTCAACAAAAAGATAAGCTATATTCCAAGCAATAATCATTCAACAAAACATATGACCACTTACTCTGAGCACTCCCAGTTAGCATACTAATCAGAGTGCTGACAGTATACAAAATAATAAGTTACTGCTCTGTAAACAGGATGAAAAAATACTATATGATCAATCTAAGGCTTGATCGATCTATTGTTACCAAAACTATGGACACCTCTTATTCATTCATGCATTCAAATATTGAA